TAAGCAGAAGATGCTGGAACATCTGAATGTGCAGGAGGATTTTGGAGGATTTTTTTTTTTTCTGAAGAACAGCAGGCAGTTTAACTGCTCAGGACAAACAACTCAAGACCAACCATCACAAAACATAAAAGCAGTTGTGGATCATCCAGGTAATGACAGAGAGTTTTGACATTTTTGAATGAGGCAATTTATATAAATTCAGTTATTTTGTCTTGTGGAGTGAATGTAAACATCTGTTATGTGAAATAACTTATTCAAGACAGTACTAAAAAAAATAAAGGATTTTTTTATGATCTCTCTTATTTTTATTTTTATTTTTTTAAATTATTACAATTTTGCATATTCTGCAAGTGTTTTGAAACCTATGAGCAGAACTGTAACTTAGGATGCTTTTGCAGAGTGTCAGACTCCGTGAATCACCAATTGCTATTTACATTAATTGCCCGTTGCAGTTTAAATTCATGTTTAAATAAATAAATAAAAATTCCAAGTAATCACTTTGGTAATCTACAATAGTTTTCAGATGTAACTTTAATTTGATTACCACCCATTTAAAATGTAAATACAGTTACTCATATTTTGTATTTTAAATATGTATCTAAGTTACATGTATTCCGTTACTCCCCAACCCTGCTCATGATTTATAATTATTTTAATTGTTGAAAACTGTAGTGTTGCTTAATATTTTAGTGGAAACTGTGACACACTACAATTCAAAAGTTTGGGGTAAAAAAAAGAGTATAAATAAAGTTTTTTATTCAGCAAGGATGCATTCAGTTGCTGAAACGGGAAAAACTTTTTTTTTAAAGTATCACCGTTTCCACAAAAATATTAAGCATTAAAAACAGTTTTCAACATCACTTCATTTTCAATATGAACAAAATTAGTACAAAATATATACACTACCAGTTAAAAGTTTGGACACAGCTTCTTATTCAATTGTTTTTCCTTTATTGTTATTGTTTTCAACATACTATTATGAAATTGAGAGCACATCCAGCATGGCTACCACATTTTGCAGCGACATGCCATCCCATCTGGTTTGTACTTAATGGGGCCATCATTTGTTTTACAAAAGGACAATGAACCCAAACACACCTCTAGGAATTGTAAAAGCTATTTGTCCAAGAAGGAGAGTGATGGAGTGCTGCATCAGATGACCTGGCCTCCACAATCACCCAACCTAAATCCAATTGAGATGGTTTGGGATGAGTTGGACTGGAGAGTGAAGGAAAAGCAGCCAACAAGTACTCAACACCTCTGGGAACTTCAGCTGAACCAACAAAATCTGACAGGATGACAGGGATAGAATCAGATGTTGACGTCATGGAGTTTATAGGGAGCAAGAGGGAAAATGTAAGGAGTGGGGACATAATTACGGATTATAATAACTTATACTGTCTTTTTACACGTTGCATTGCATCGCGCCACATAAGCATAAAACCATGTCTGCATTTGTGATCGGAGAAATGACAAACTACAAACGCTACTCTGCACTGCTCAAAACTCACGTTTGAATCGTCAGTAGCAAATTATTTAAATATAAAAAACGTACTTACTCTTCTTTATGCACCAAGATCTTGTAACACTCCAAAGAGAAAGGAAAAATTGAAATCGCATCATATGACCCCTTTAACAAAATATTTTGGGAGGTGAGAACTTGCTTATAGGCTGTAGTACAGAAGTGCAGATGGAGAAAACAAAGAAAATGAGTAGTGTTGGAGAAATCAAAGTATAGCAAAAGTGGTAAGAGTGGAGGGAAATAAGAAATGAAGGTTGTAAGTCTGTGATGTTTGGAATACCTCTAACTTTTATGAAGGAAAGAGTGAAAAACTTGAGGGTGTCAAACTACTCTGTAAAAGGTACTGGAAGAATGACAAGAGAAGTTGAGAAAATTAAGACAGAAACCAGTTTGCTTGTGTTTGAAACAAAGGTTATCCCAAAGGAATTATATTATAGATTTATGAGATATGGCATAAGAGAGCTCACATGTCTAATCAGGAATTTGCACATGTTGTTGAATATACAATGGAAAGAGAAGATGTGTTAGATGTGGTGAGGATCATGAATATGGAAAATGTGCAGAGAGAGTGAAGCCAAATTACAGTGTTCCATTCACATTGGCAGAATGCAAGTGGATAACCATTCCCAAAACCAAACATCTGACACAGAATTCCTGCCATATATAACACAAGTACAGTTGATTTGTTTGTTGTCTGTGCCATGTAGAGAACAAAATAAAATTGAGTTTAAAAAGTTCAATAAACAACAAACTTGTTTATTCTGTCTTTTTTCATCTTTTATTGCAAACCGTCTCATCGAAAATGGCTTAAACAGTTCTTGATAGTGCTTTATCAGATACTGTATGTGGTTCCAAATCGAAATTAAGATCAATATATTGGTTTTATAATACTTATATCAACAAATTGAAACATACGGGGGAAAAAAAAAAGTTACTTTAACAATAGTGATGACATTTGCACAGGATTTGAGTGTGATAACCAGTTGTTACCAGGAATATAATAACTTACTGCAACTGACTATCGCCATCTTTCAAAGTTAATTTTCACTGTTTATTGTATTTTTAACGTTTGTGTGTTAAAGTCATGTAATTAAACTGTATATTAAGAAACTTGTTCAAGCTGCCTCCGAACAATTATAAAAAATAATAAATAAATACATTTTTGTATGTAACAAAATGAACCACATTTTGAACATTTAAATGTTTTTAGTTTGAGAAAATTTTGGGAAAGAATGCAGGGATCATAGGTTTAAAAAAAGATATATATATATAGTATAATGTATTACTGTTGCCCCTTCAGGGCAAACTCCTTATACGTTATATAAAACTCAATTTACATACAATAAAATCACAAAAACCATCAGCACTCCTGTTTTCAATAGCCGCTTCATGGTACACACAGCATGCTCAAACTAATGAATAGTAAATTGCTAAAGTTAATAGTTTTATTTGGGAAGATGATGTGGGCCAAGTTTACAATGAAAATACTAGATATAGATTTTTGAGATGTTAGAGTGATTATCATCAAACTTCTGGGTAATTTTTCAGACATGCATGTGGAAAAAATCCAAGTGTGCATGTCAGACTCATAAACTAATCAAAAGTTGCTTTGAAGTAAATAATTGTTTTGGCATATAAAACATTACTTCTACTACTTCAACTACAAAAAAAAAAAAAAATCATGTGACTCATGTGTTATATTTTACTCCAATGATGAAGCAGTACACCTATATTGCACCTTTAACAGAACAATTTTACATGGCATATTGTTATATCTCAAGCTATTACTGTAAAGCATACCACATTCCTTCTGTTGATTATGTAAATGTATTAAGCACTTTAAAGTTAAAAATATTGCTGCCATGGGCCTTAGTCAGGGTAGAAGACATGTAATTTTACATGAATGAAGACTGTGAGGGCAGGGGTGTCACTAAGGTTTCTGGGCAGGTCCTGCAGCCAGCATACTATAGATGCAAAAACTGCTCATTGGGATGTACTGTTAAACCGTTCTAGTTCAACCTGGTTAATGCCCTCACAAAGATGTCTACATGGTAAGTGTCCAACATGTAGCATCACATTCAGTTAACAAATAAGTAATTACAATTTCTGACATTTCAGAGCTATTGCCGGCACAAAATCATGTGTGAATTTATTGGTAGGAATTTTATTTTATTATAAATTGCACCCAGTTGTGACAACATCTTCCTTCTTGCTTTCTTGAGCTTTGGAAATGACTGTTAGTTGGTTTAATCTGTTTTGTTCTTCACACTGCAATTGGTCAGTTTGTTTCTACTTTAAAGGGATAGTTAACAAAATCTGTCTTCATTTGTATACCTTCTAGGGGTGTAACAGTACATGTATTCGTCCCGAACCGTAACGGTACGGATGTAACGGTTCGGTTCATGCAGTCAGACGACGAATACAGTCAGTGCGATCAATCCAGAACAGGAACCGTCACAGCAGGAAAGAGAAGAAGAAGAGACGATCTACGCACCAACCCAAAACAAGAACAGAGAGTTCAGATGGCATGCAAGAGCTCGAAGAATCACCTGCTTTTATCAGCAGTGTGGGGAAGTTTCAGTTGACTGGCTATAAATCTGAACCGGTTTTTATTTTAGCTGATCTCTGAAATGCACACAAACTGCATTGAAATCAAAATGTAATTTATGTGGATTTTTTATGAAGTCTTTAAAGAGGGATCACGATGCTCGAAATATAGGAAGACAAATATGTGGGGGGTTATATGAAGCCATTTCTGAAGACTGTCAGTTCCTCTCAGAGATGCAATTTTTTTTTCTCTTACCTCCATATAATGCATATTAAAGTAGTGTTTATAAGCGCAGTGCTGCTTTGTTTACAGCGCTAACCAAGGAAACTCTATATCACTGCTGTTCCATAGGCGCCACCTGCTGTCAGAAAATAAATTTGTGTTTTCATTCAGTCTGTCTGCTGTTTTTGTTCTGTGCAGGTGTCTTATGTAGCATAATTTCACAAGTCTAAAGTCAGATCATTCTGTTTTTGCTTGAAATTATACAATCTAATTCAAATCAAAACAACTGTTCATGCTACATGTGTGTAGCACTATTGTCTGTTCAAAATAAATGAAAAAATGCATTTCCTGCTGTACCAAACTCGTATCGAACAGTGACCCCGAAACCGAGCTATGTACTGAACCATGACATCTGTGAACCATTACACCCCTAATGCCTTCACATTGTTCCAAACCCAAGACTTCTGTTTGTCTTGATGAAGATGGTAATATTCTCTCATAATTTTTGTCAAACGTACAGTGCTTGACTCTCGAGTAACCTCAATGGATTTCCATATTGTCCCATTAAATAAAATCTTTAAAAACATATTAATGTTATACTACAATAAAGAAAAAAAGTTTAATTGCATATTGATGTTATAGTACAATGGCAAAAAGAACCACACAAAAACTGTTAAAAGTAGACAGGTGTTTCACTGAAAGAAAAAAAAATCATCCAGTGAAATATGATTTAATCTGGTGAAATCAGAAGTCGTAAATGTATCAGACTGTTCAGTCTCAGTGCAGCTAGTCCATGAATCCACCGGAAAGTTCTACACCTGGAATTCAAACATGTCTGCTTGCTTCTTGGCCAGTTTGGCCACCTCATCACGGATGGCTTTGACTAGGGCTGAAGTGGAAAGGCTGCTGAGGGGGGTGTCGGGGCTGATCGGATCTCTGGGCTCTGCTAGACTCTGCTGGGACACTGCAGTGGAGGAAGAGGGTGGATTATCTGGACCACCCTGAATGGCCTGCCGGTGGTGCCACAGGAGAGGGCTGCCCTGAGGATAATGAGGGTGAGGAAAGGCCTCTGCGTAGCCTGGTAGGGGCATCTGAAAGAGAAAACAGGTAGCATTCAACAAGGCCTGTGCTAAAACCATTCAGCTAGGGTGTATTGTTATTTTTAGTGAGTCTTGATCTGTGCTGCAGTTGACCAAATTCTATAGTTAAAAAGGGAACCAATAGACAAATGCACAAGGACGACAATCACGATAAGGAAAAAGAAAAGCTTAAGGATCTACTTCAAAGTAATATTAGTGACACTCCATTCAAACAAGTTTGCATTGCGTGATTTGATCATTTTCATTAAACTATGAATTATGAAATCATAAACACTTTGAACAAGGGTTACCTTGTCACCAGGCTTGGGCATAATTCAGAATTTTAGAATTGACTTTTTGAGAATAATTTGGAATTGAATTTTCCACCCGACAAGATGATAAATTTACTAAATTGCCATTCAAACATATACAACAGTCACACAACACTCATTAGACCAACACATTAGTCCAACTTATTGCAACAAAACATAATTAATTAAATTATTAATGTTGACTAATTAAGCCTATTTATTCCCTGATATGTAGAATGCATTTTCCTAATAAATCATTAGACTTATTTCTTTGAACTAAATGCAAAAGTATCAAATTATTTGACTCTGCCATCAAAACCATTTTAATTTTGGCATGTGGCAATGCAAAATGCCCATTAAATTGTCTTCAGATTCATTTATAAAAATAAATATAGACATTAAATTAAAAAAAAAAAGAAATTAATTAGATATAATTACATTCTGATTGAAAATCTTAGAGAAAAAAGGAGGAAAGTTCTTAACATAATTTGTAAGAAAATTCTTAGAAATATAAATTAAATGTAATTGACAATTTTTTAAAATAATTACTAGTCTCATAAATACTAAGTCTAAAATAAATAAATAAATAAAACTTTACACTTAATTTTTATCTGATTAAATTAACATCCCCTATGTTAAAGTAGCATGTTTTTTTTTTTCCTTTTGGTTATAAAAGTAAAAAAAAAAAGTTTTGTACAATTTTATAGATTGTATATAATTGTACAATCTAGAATATATGAATTTTATTGAATTTAAATTTTTTAATCTACTTAAATTTTTAATCTTGTCTGCTTTCCTTAATTCAAAACCTGGAATTTTAAAAGGTATTCGCAATTTGATTCTGAATTGCACTCAACCCTGCTTGTGACAGAGGAAAACAAGAAAGAAAAAGAAAAGTGTTCACTTGAAGAAATGTGCTCATCTACCCTGGGAATTTGTTGTTTCCACTCAACGTCAGCGATAAATTCAGTTCAGCAAATGGTCTCTAAATGACACTGGTTCTGCAAAAAGACACCGTGTGAATGCAGGCACACACAAACAGGGATAAGAAGGACAATCCAAAAAGATGAGCCTTGCGCCCAAGGGCAGGTCACATGATCTGCCAGAATGCCCCCTAAATTCAGAACAATGTATAGAGGCACATGCGACAGACCAGTTCCGCTTCCCTTGGTTGCAGTCCATGAGGTTTACGCCACATTAAATTGTATTAATGGTGCATGCACTGTAACATTGGGTCTTGGGATGCAACCCAGTTTGTGAAGCAGAATTGGACACATGATAAAGGACTGTGTGATAACTGCATTCTTACAGATTCGGTCCACTGAGGAGGCACATCCTCGGGTTCAGGGGGGTAAGACATCCAGGATGGGCTGTGGTAGGAGGAGGGTGGTGTAGAGATGAAATATCCCGTGTATCCTGGACGACTGGCTGGGATGGCGTACACTGCTGTCATGGGATTTCCTGTGGGACAAAAAAGAATGAGAGTTTCGTAGGGGTGGCCAATATATGCATTGTCTATGATAATACTGTAATTATCGAATGTCACTCACTTTGCAAAAAACAACCAAAAGCAAACCTTGAGAGTGCATGCTTTTTACTGTGAAAAAAAGCAGTAGAATGCAGTTTGAATACCCCCAAAATTCAATACATGGAGGCAAAAATGCAACTGTATGAGTTTTTGTATTATATTTCTAAATGATATAGTTAAGCAATATCACATGAGCAAGCATGTCATTGCTGTGAACTGACCACTGCCCAGAATGAAGGTTGTCAAAAGCTTTGGGAGTCTGCTGTCCATGACAGGCCTAAACCAGCCAATGTACACATATAAAAACACTTTTTTGTCATTACCAAAAAAAAAAATCACAGAAAATACTGAGAAATTATGTTTTGTTCAGTATCGCACACCCCTAGAGTTTAGGGTACATTTGGAACATATTCATGCTATTATCAGAAATAATACTGAGATTAAGTCATTTTTACATATTCTGAAAAAAATGTGAGCAGTGCTTGCCTGTGCCAAACTCACAGCCACAATGCTAATGTGTAACTGGTTGTTGCCAGAGTGTTGCTAAGGTGTTCTAAGTAGTTGCTATGTCATCAAAATAGGCCATTCAAAAATCTCTGAAGTCCTTCTTTCAGTGATAGTATCAAAGATATTTTTTACCTGTTTTATCATCATATCATTTAAAAAAAGTAGAAGCCAAACTCTCCTCAACACGTTTCACAATTTGAAGTATCCTTCATGTACCATCAATGGTCCAGGATGAGTTATGCATCAAAGGGTGTTACACTTCCCTAACTTCCATAACTAATGCACTATAATTCGTAGGAAACACACACACATACACACACACAAACAAACTAGTGCACAAAGACACACATAAACCCATACAATCACACACACACTAACCTGAGTGGTTGGGAATGGGCTCAGTAGTGACAGGTGGGAGTGGCGCTCTGCTGTTTGGCCTGTGTGGGCTGCTGTCATGCTGACTCGGCACTGACGACTCAGCACAATGACCTTTCCGACCAAGATCAGTAGATGACCTGAAAAACATGGCAACAATTTCATACATGCATTGACATTGTTTCACCACCAGGTGACAGTATCGATTTACTAGCAAAGTCAATCTGCTGCCTTTACATAAAGAATTAGCATGACATGGCAGACTTCACCACAGTTATTTAAAATTAAAAAATACACTTCTGAATTTAGCACCGGAATAAACCTATCAGAATGGCTACTGATGCTGTCAAGCTCCAAAAAAAAAAAATAAAAAAAAATAAGTACAATTAACCCTATAAAGCCTACTGCATCATGTATACAGATTTCAGTGAGATATACAGAGCGTAACAGTTACAACAAATGACACCAAACTTAACATGAATACAGAACTTAAAAATTAAGCTGACATTTTTTTCCCCTTTTTTTTAATGATGACAAGCTATCAGAAGACTTAAGAATATAGAACACAAGTTATATGTACTACTTTAATGGTACTTTTTCTGTATTTTTATTTTTTTTTTACTTGACAGCTTTATCCACATTTACTTGTCTTGTTTGGATTGTGAACATCCTTTTGTGTGGCACAGAAGACAGAAAGTCAATTGGGTTTGAAACGATAGTAAATTATGGGAAAATATTCCTTTAATAAGTGCTAAATAAACTCATGCACTGGTCACTGCCAGAAAAAAAGGCAAAGAATGTGGAAATGTAATGACCGTCGCAGTGATGACTCAGGAGGAGGGCCTGGTCTTGGTGGGACAGGGGGTGGAGGAGACCCAAGAGCCATTTCAGGAAGCTGAGTGAACCTGAATGCCTTTTTGAAAAATGTACATGTTATCATATAAAAGTTTTAAGCAAGGAAGATCATTTCTGATATATCTGTACATATATATCGATCAGATCTATAACTGTACCTGTTTGGCAAGGCTGCACTGGTAAGGGTCTGGTCTATAGGCTGGCACCCACTGTAGGCCTCCCTGCCCTTGACTCGTGGTGCCCGGTGCACTGGTCACCACCTCTGAGTACGGAATGACTGGACCCAAGCCATAGGGTCCAAGTGGTGGATGCTGATGGTGAGAGTGATGGTGTCGGCTGGAAGTAGAGTGGCCAGCTGAAGCTAGACTAAATGCTTCTTCTAGCAGCAGATGCATCTGCTGACGAACCTCATTTATGGAAGGCTGGGAACTCAGTGTTGATGTCTCAGATTGACCTTTGATTTGTCGACCACAGCCAAAATAATGGCGGCCCGCCAGTCGGTCAACATCAGTCTCTTCAATAATCTCTGGCTCAGTCTGCAACAGACAAAGAACAAAGAAACAGATGCACAAATGTTACAAAATCTAAGTCTGAAGTGTGATAGTGTGGTATCAAATACCAACAGATAAAAAATTCTAAACCTGACTGCCTCTGTTAGAAATCTTATAATAGGCCGTGGATGGATCTTCCATCAGAACAATGATCCAAAACTAATATCAAAATCAATACAAAAATGTGTCACTGAGCACAAAATGAAGCTTCTGCCATGGCCGTCCAAGTTCCCTGACCTGAACCCTATAGAAAATGAGTGGGGTGAACTGAAGAGAAGAAGCACCAACATGGAGCTAGGAATCTGAAGGATCTGGAGAGATTCTGTATGAAGGAATGGTTTTGGAATAATGTCTTGTTAGGTGTTCTCCAAACTCATCAGGCATTATAGGAGAAAACTCAGAGCTGTTATCTTCAGGAAAGGACGTTGCAATAATTGGGTGCCAATAATTGTGGCCAACGTGAACTAGAGAAAAACATTTATTTCATAATGAGATTTTCCCCTCACTTTCCATTGTTTTACTTCAATGATAGGTTCGAATTTTGTGATTTTTTTTTAACGAAAGATCAAAAGGATGAACGATGCAGATATTATCTTCACAGCCACCTTTGCTCATATTTACCAAGGGTGCCAATATTAGTGGAGGGCACTGTAAATGACAACATTTTAAACTGGCGACGGTTTTTCAACAATCTGCAAGTAAAAATTTAAAGATTTAAAATAAAATAAAATGTATAATGACGTGACAATTTATTTTGGTAATAAGCTACACCTGCATACAGCTTGTTCCCACAACAGCCCTACCATTCTGAGATGCTTTATGAATCAGGTACTTTAACTTCCATCCCAAATTACCATTTTCATTTTAAATCTTTTCATAACATGACCCCTGAGCTTTCATTTGAACAAGTGAATTATGTGCTGGTAAAATGAAGTGATAGAACGAGTTCTCATTATCTTTAGGATAATATATAAAGCTAATCATCAAAATATCTTCTTCTTTGTGAGTCTCTCATGTGTCTCTTTCTATCTTAAACACACAAATACTCATAAAACACAATAATAGCAGAAATAAATGGTATACAATCTATTCTCATTCAATCCAGGTTGGTTTAACAGTGTGGGAGTTTTGTTTTCTAAGCTCAGCAGCTCTTCTCTATTATTCGCTTTTCGTAGGGCAAGTTCCAAAAGTTTTAAGTTGGCAGTAATAAAACTCCTTATAAAGAATAATCCTAGAGAATTAGCTAATTATGGGTCAATCTAAAATCTCCTGTTCATATAAAAAATATTTTATTAAATATATATTTAAAAAAATCACAATTATCTTCACAACTAATTGCAAAGAAAGGATATTTGTAAAGAATTTCAACTAGGATGTAGGCCCCATTGTAGTATAGAGACTGCACTTGTCAAGTTACAAATAAGTTACAATTGACCTGCTTATATCATCTGAAATAGCCAAATCTCCCTTCTAGTATTGTTAGACACTAGCTGTGATGCTGTGGCATACCACCTGCCGCATCATGTTGCCATTTGTGGGCAGGCTTTAGAAAGGTTTAATCCTACCATAATCACTATCAGTTTATTTGTGTTAATGAAGACATGTCAGATCACACACAAGTTACACAGGGATCAGTATTAGGCCCTCTGCTTTTTCATTGTATATTCTTCCCCTGGGCAACATTGTCAGAAAACATGGAGTCATTATTCATTGCTATCCCAATGACACTCAGCTTTATACTGTATTCCTTCAAGTTAGGTTAGTGCATTAGTGAAATTTAACAGGCATTTATCATACAGAAATGGAATATTGAGTCCCCAAAGAAAAGGGTTGTCAACAACAAAAGTCACAGTGAGTATTTTGTGTGGCCACTACAGCGCATCTCATCATCATGGACTGCACCAGAATTGCCCGTTCTTGCAGATGTTGCCCCACTCTTCCACCAAAGCACTTATACACATGGTTATACATGGTTCCCTATCGAATGGTCTCTCCCGTTGTGTCGCTGACGCTTGTGGGGAAACTCCTGTTTACTCTGATTTAGCCTGATTTGTTCACGTTTGTGTAGCTGCACAAACAAATGGTGCTCTAACTCACCAAAAGGGGAAGAGCCGATCGCTATATAAGTCTGCTCAGAAAACCATTTCATCAGAATTTTTTCCTTCAGCGACGGGATCATCTCTTCACTGACTCAGCTTAGCCTGCTGCTCACCGCTGAAGAAGAGCCCCAGCAGTGGAAGAAGCAGAAACCTTCCCCCGTGGCCATCCGGCACTGAAAAAGAGCAATTTTCCTGAGCAAATTTACTCTGCGACATTATTGTAAATGTCGCGCCGCAAGTGTGGCTTGTGCAGGGGATGCAGACGGGCACAGCGAGTGCGTCACCGAGACGCTCTCACTGAGGCTGCGCTTACTGAGACATCATGTTCTCATTGTGAGTATGAGTCTCTATCTCTATCTCCTATCTTCGCTCGCGGATCACCTTCTTTAATGAAGGCAGTCCTCCCCACTCTGCTCTCCCATTTCCTTTCTCTCCTAAGAGAAAGAAACAGCGGGGCTCTGACAGTGGGCTCGAGTGAAGTCACGCCTGCTCAGCCCCCACGTGCTCCACTCTCCCCACATCGCCTCGTCTCGCCAGTGTGCTTCACCCAGGAGGATCAATGCCCCTGGTCAGCTGCGAGCGGCTTAGTTTCTTTCAGCGCTTCAGAGGATATTGCCGTCGATGACTCCATGTCCTTGACGGCGTCAGATAGTGAAGAATGGGTGGGTTCCGGCGAAGAGCCTGAAGCCCCTTCTCTCTCACAGTCAACACGGCCATGGACCCTAACGCCTTCAAGGAGCTGTGCACAGAGACTGACCTGGCTCTGCACACTACCAAGGCAATGGTGCAGGCAATTGGCAAGGCTATGGCCAATTTGGTGGTGCTGGAGCACCACATTTGGTTGAATCTTACAAGATCATGGACGGTGAGAAGATCGTCTTCCTCGACTCGCTAGTCTCACCCAAGGGACTATTCGGCCCTGCCGTGGACGGGTTTGCTGTGCGCTTCACTGAGGCACAGAAAAAGTTGCCTGCAAGTTACCTGTAAAGCTGGCGCCACCTAAGCCCCCAGCAAAATTCTGAGCCTGGGCTTCAGCAGCACCCCCAGACACCAAGACGGTATCCCTACCTGAAGTACCAAGGTCCCTGCCCCCGAGTGGTGCTGGAGCCTCAGAAGCCATCCTCATCTGTGCACAAAGAGGAAGAGGAGAGGGTCAGTTCTCGCCAAGGCCGGAACTCTTGCGTTCATTCTCCACCCCTCTGACCGTTTCTGAGCATTGGACATATTATTCTATCTGTGCATGTCCTTCAAGTTCAGTGCGTACCCAAGCATATTACCGCTGTGATAGCGGACCCACATACTCATAAGAGCATTTCTCCTTATATCCACGAATGTCATTTCCACCCCCATGCGGCGAACTAACATTTGTAAAAATAGAACCACTTGCCATCTGGCTCCAGGCTTGGGAAGCCATCCTGGATGTATCAAGCTGGGTTCTAAATATCATAAAATGAGGTTACTCACTCCAGTTCGCTCGCAGGCCATCTCATTTCAAAGGTATTACTCAGACTTTGGTACGGGACAACGAAGCTCATGCTCTCCGGTCCGAAGTACAAAAACTGCTTGCAAAAGGCACCGTGGAGATGGTTCCTTCAGTGAACAGCGAGTCAGACTTTTTCGGCCGCTACTTCCTCGTTCCCAAAAAAGATGGGACCCATTCTCGATCTCAGGCATCTGAATCGCTCACTTATAAGACAGCCATTCAGGATGTTAACTCTGAAACAGAAGCTTGCACAAATATGTCCCAAGGACTAGTCCTTGACAGTGGATCTGAAAGATGCTTACTTTCACATCCACATAGCCCCCCATCATTGACCATTCTTCAAGGGAGTGGCCTATCAATATACAGTCCTACCATTCGGACTGTCTCTGGCCCCACGCACTTTCACAAAGTGCATAGACGCGGCTGTCTCCCCTCTGAGGCAGATGGGAATCCGCATTCTGAATTACCTCGACGATTGGCTGGTTTTAGCCAGATTAGAATGGGAACTCGTTGCTCACAGGTCACTGCTTCTCAGCCACTTGGAGCGTCTCAGGTTGACAATAAATTTAAAGGTGACCTATTATGCAAAAATCACTTTTATAAGGTGTATTAACACAGCGAACATAGGAGTCTCCATAGACTAAAACCGAGTACATTTTCTGTAAAGATAACAAGCTTGTACTAATAGTGGAATGTTTATTTGCAAAGGCCAATATTGGTATCCCGGAGCATGAGATCTTGAAGCTCCGCCCTCTTCTGAAAAGGGAGGCAGGAGCACCAGGTCATTTGCATTTAAAGTGACTCATATTCTAAAAGTGGCAATTTCAACAAGCTATAAAAACTTCTCTGTGGGGTATTTTGAGCTAAAACTTCACATACACACTCTGGGGACATTAGAGACTTATTTGACATCTTGTAAAAAGGGGCATAACAGCTCACCTTTAACCAAGAGTTATTTGTCTCCCAGACAGCAAGTAGTCTTTCTGGGGACTGTTATAGACTCAGCCCAGATGCGAGCTTGGATTATGACGGAACAATCCCTGACTATTCTGCTACTGGTGGTGTCATTCAAATTAGGGACTTCATGTCCCCTCAGGGCTTTTCAGAGGCTGCTCGGCCTTTTGTCGGCCGCCTCCACTGTGATTCCTCTAGGCCTGCTCTATATGCAGCCTCTCCAGTATTGGCTCAAAGCTCATGTTCTGTTCCATGCCTGGCACCTGGGCTGGTTATATATCAGGGTGACCCATCGCTGCATCAGAACTGTGGCCCCCTGGACAACTTCTCGCCTTTTTCTATCAGGCATTCAGCTGAGACTGACCTCCAGGAGGAAGGTAGTTATGACAGACGCATCCAACTTGGGTTGGGGAGTTTTGTTTAAGGCTGCATGTATTGTTAATGTTTTC